AAGGAAGACCTTTCTCTCTGTCTCTCTCATTGTCTAACTCTGCCTGTAAAAAAAAACAACAACAACAATAACAAAAAAAAAAAAACAAAACTTTTAAAAAGTGCCTAAAAGCAGGGCCAAAACTTTTGGAAGCTTATTCTTAATTAAAAAGAAAAACGAAAGTAAACAGTAATTTTACTGAAATATTCGAGTACAATACAATGCAATCAATCATTTCCTCTAATATTCTACATTGATATTTGTGTCCAGAACCCTGCTAGTTATCCTCATATTTTTCTATTCTTTCTTATTTGTCTTTATGACTGTATCCTTTGCTATATAGTGTTGTGAAGTTTTTGTAATATTTTGCAATGATATTTCCTATCATTTTACCTTTCTGTTAAACCCTATTCTTATTCAACATGCTTTACCTGAGTTATATCAGTTTATCTGAATTTCAATACTGGTTACATGCTGATAAGTCTCAACTATGTGCTTGCTCTCTGTCCTTTAAGCAGAGATTCATATAATGATTTGTTCATGCACATCTTTTCTTGGGAGTCATAAAAACATTACCATGTTCCTTGATGAATTCTTTTCTCCTTAGAGTGTGCACACTGATTGAGTGTTGTCTTCTTATGATAACTTTGTGCTTCTTATAGCTTTTCATTTTCATTTTAGAAAACTCTCTCTCTCTCTCCTCCTTCTCTCTTTGCATATTTTCTTGTTGCTTCAGGGATTCTGTGCTCTCACTAAAGGTGTTAAAAGAGTCTTTGGAGAATATATAAGTAAAAGGGTGCTTCTGCTAAGTTCTTTGTTTCACTCTACTGTGTGGTCTAAAGGTGTGCATATTTCTACAATCACACACATTAAATTATCTCTACAGCAACTTTCATTTTTAATACTGTGATAAAATATGACTCATATAAAGTCTGCCTGTTAATGTAAAGTCCATATAGTCAGCAGTGTCATCTGCTTACATGATAGAATAGTTCTTTTCCTGAGCATTAATTTATTTGAAAGAAAGAATGATAGAGCGGGACAGAGGCAAGAAGAGAGAGAGAGGAAGAGAGTGCTTCCATTAAGTGGCTTACTCTCTAGATGACTGAAATGCCTGTGACTGGGTCTTGACCCAGGATCCAGCAAATCATCCTGGTCTCCCAGATGGCTGACAAGGGCCCATGTACTTAAGCTATCGGACTTCCAAGGTACATTAGCAGGAAGCTTGATCAGAATTGAAGCAGCTGGGTTGCAAACTGATACTCCAATAGGTGATGACAAGTGTGTCACAATGTTGGCTCCTAATAAACGAATTCTTGTTGCCCCAGTTCCGTCTCCAGTTTCTGTCCTATTTACTTGACTACAATTTCTTTTTTTTTTTTTTTTCACTTGCTATTTTTATTATTCTCTCAACTGGTGTTAGTATCAGATTATATTTTATCAACAAATTCTTTAACATGGTTTCTTGGTTTAATTATTCTTTAAATTATTCTTTCAATTCTGTATCAAACAAAGAAAAAAGTTATTTTTCAAATAATTCCTACTGTTATCTTTCTGAAAGCTTTTGATTTACTTGGCAATGCAAAAATTGCTAACATTTTACATTTTATAAACATTAATTCTTTTTAATAATTGCAGTTACTCCACACCTAAATCAATTCAAAACAAAACAAAACAAAACAAAACAAAAACAGGAAGCAGGTGTTTAGCCTAATGGTCAAGACACCTGCACATCATATGGGAGTACCTGTGTTCTATTCCCGGCTTCTGCTCCTGACTCCAGCTTTCTGTCTATGCAGAGCCTCAGAGGCAGTGGTGGTGGCTCAAATAACATGGAGACCTGCATTTGTTTTCAACTCCTTTCCTGGCTCCAGCCAAGTTCATGTGGACATTTGAGGACTGAGCCAGAAGACCGGGAGCTCTCCCTTTCTGTCTCTGACAAGTAAAAAAAAAAAAAAAAATTAAAGCCCTTGCTAATTCTTATTGAAGTAGTTTTCTAATTATCTGTCCATCTCCTGTTTGCCTTTATTGGAAAATTTTGTTATTCTACATCACTGTCAAATCCTCCTTTTCCTTACAAGAAAATGTATTAGGAAAGCTTACCTTCAATGTTCCATGGTAAAGAATAAGCCACCTAAATTGGAAAGTGAAACTCCAAATGTTAAATGAGGGATTCAGGACATTTCCCGAGAGGCCATATGACTAGCTTAAAAGCTGGTAAGATGTGCCTAAAATAACTTTAACTCTTTGACTTATAGTCATGTTATAAATGTGTCAATTAGACATGCTGACATATACATACAAACTATGCCCAAATCAAGTTAAAATCCAAAAGAAAACAAAGTAATTCAATGAGCAATACTGAGAAGTTAACGGAGCTCAATAAACAGTATGCTCTCAGAAGTAGGGAGCATTAAACACCTGGCAATTTATATAATTTAATATGCCAAAAATGAGGTGGTTCAGGTGATCAGGAATTTCAATCTGGAGAACCCAGCAGAATGGGAAATCAGCAAGACAAAGCCTCTCCCACACCCAAGCACCCCTCCACCAAGAGTCTCCTCAGAGAACACTTGAACCACCATCCAGAAATTAAGGGAGAAATTGCTAGAAAAGTTGACAAGCTGCTGTTGTTACCTGACTGTCGTGCAGGTAAAAGATGCTGAAACTCGTCAGGAGCCAAAGGAATTCTGATTGCCGAAAAGCCATCACTTTGATATGATGGATATTAAGAACACTCCCAAAGGCAAAATTTCCATTGTAGAAGCATTGACACTGCTCAATAACCATAAACTTCATCCAGAGACGTGAACTGCTAGCAAAATAGCACAGGAATACCATTTAGAACTGAAAGATGTAAATTCCCTTCTCAAATATTTTGTTACTTTTGAACTCAAAGTCTTTCCTCCTGAAGACAAGAAAGCGATGCGACCAAAATGAAGAAAATCATGAAATTACTGTTCCTATGTGTAATTTCCATCCCCCATCCCATACATGATTACTATTTCAACTATGCCTTATCTGATGTCTTTTTCTATTAGTTATTTGTGTCTATGTAACTGATTATCTCAAAATAAGGGCGTGTAAAATGATAAATATTTATTTTCTTCAGTTTTTGAGACCAAGGCATTTGGGAGTGCCTGAGCTTGGTGTCTGTGGCTCAAAGTGCCTATGAGATTTCAGTTTTCTTTGTGGGGCTGTAGAAATGGCTATAATCAACTGTAATGGAATAACCCAAATCAACGTGCACTCATGTGGTTGTTGGCAGGATTCAGAATATGTCTAAAACTTCTAAATGGGCATTTCTACAGTACATTCTCACAACATGGAAACTAGTTTTCAGTAGGGTCATTGACCAAAGAGGTGGAGAGGGAGAGAGTTTGAAGCCACAGACATTTTATAACCTAGTCCCTGAGGTGATATTCCATCATTTCTGGCCAGTTCTATTCATTGGGAGTGAATCAGAAAATTTAGCCCATTCTCAGGTGGATGGGATTATAAAAGCCTGTAAATTCCAAAAGAGGCAGAAATAACTGGAGACTATCATAAAAGCTGCCTGCTATACTTTTCAACAGTTACATTCTTCTCAAGCAGGTAGAATTTCCCTCTATTACTTGTTGCACTGTAATTCTAATATCTTGTGTGAACACTGTCCTCTTTATATATTTCTATATCTTTTTATGCTATTATGATCCATGCAGGCACAACCAAGGTGCAAATATTAGATTAATGTTTGTATACTCTCAATTCTCTACAGGATATATCTATCTATATTCCCTTCAGTTTCCCGAACCACTTTAGCTGTGAAGATTAGCAAAACTGGCTCTCTCCTTTTTTCCAGTGATTTCTTAGTTTGAAATATTTTCTCTCTAGATACTTCTCCTAGCCTATCCCTTGAGCCCAGCTTAGTTGTCATCATATTTACAAAATTACTTCTTATTTCTCAAGTATAAGTAAAGTATTATCATTGTGAACCCACAACGCTGTTAAATATCTGTTGTTTTACTATTCACATGGTATTTTAATGATCTGATAGGCATCTAGTTCCAATAAAAGATAGTCAGACAGTGGATAATAACCATGGTTTTTTTTTAACTTTTATTTAATGAATATGAATTTCCAAAGTACAGCTTATAGATTACAATGGCTTCCCCCCATGACGTCCCTCCCATGGTTTTATTTTGGGATCATCAAGTCTTGGGTATGCTTCCATTACATTGATTCTCAAAAGATGATAACCTGTAAAGAAATTATATATCAAGACTCTAGATCACCTAATAAAGACAATTATGTTGAGGCATAACAAAAATTAAATAACCTCAGAATTGGCATGTAAATGAGTCATTGAAATATCACTATTTTAAGATTAGTTAAAACATTGAGTTAGATATTGAGCAATTTGAGAGTTCAAGAGGACAAGAATAGAGAATCCCTGCAATTACAAATATGTTTAATAATAATCATAAACTCGTTCCTCTATTCAAGATACAATTTATTATATCAAGTTATTATACACAATTTACCATGTATAAATTTCCAGCCTGTGAAGACCTGAATGTTAATAGACATTTCATGGGACACAGAGAAGATTTTTCAATGGTTTTGTAAAAAATGTTTTTCCAGTGGAGAGAGAGAGAGAGGGAGAGAGAGAGAGCGCTCTTATACACTGGTGAACTCTCCATACTTTCCCAGCAACACTGGCTGAGACAGAAGCTGGGATCTGGGAGCTGGAAACTCAATCTAGGTTCCCCAGATAGGTGGCAGAGACTCAGTTACTTGAGACATCATCTGGTGCTCCCCCTGGTCTGCAATAGCAGGAAGAGTGAATGAGGAGCATTGAACACAGGCACTGTGATGTGGGATGTGGATGCATATGTCAGTCAGCATCTTGATGCCCACCCTAAGGCTCAAATTTTTCATTATTAGAGTTTAGATTCAATTTCAATATGTAAGGTTATTCTCAAGACCCAAAATTTTGAAATGACTAATGACTACATAGCACATATACAAAGTAGAAACAAAGGAGTAAGTGATATTAAAAGATCTGTGTGTCATCACTGTTGATTATAACATTTATAAATTATGACTTCCATGCAATGGTTGAGAATTTAATTTAATTTTCCTCCTTTTGATGCACCTGTATTGCCTCTATTGCCAATGTTTGTTCTTACACTTGATCTTAGCCAAAAGGCCGAGAAGCGATTTTTTTACTTTTTTTTTTTTTTGACAGGCAGAGTGGACAGTGAGAGAGAGAGAGACAGAGAGAAAGGTCTTCCTTTTGCCGTTGGTTCACCCTCCAATGGCCGCCGCGGCAGGTGCGCTGTGGCCGGCGCACTGTGCTGATCTGATGGCAGGAGCCAGGTGCTTCTCCTGGTCTCCCAGGGGGTGCAGGGCCCAAGCACTTGGGCCATCCTCCACTGCACTCCCTGGCCACAGCAGAGAGCTGGCCTGGAAGAGGGGCAACCCGGACAGAATCCGGTGCCCCGACCGGAACTAGAATCTGGTGTGCCGGCACCGCAAGGCGGAGGATTAGCCTACTGAGCCGCGGCGCCGGCCAATGTTTGTTCTTTATAGCTAAGAACAGATATTCTTAACTCTCAGATAAAGTTTGTGTAACACACTAGGAAATCATTTCTAATTGTATAATGCTGCAAAGGCTAATTCTCTGACTAGACTTTTTGAGGATTGATTTTCATGGTTTTCACCTTTGTCTAAATATATTTTCTTCTTGAGCAAAGACTTCCATATTATTATATGAAAATAAAAAAAAAATTGTCCAGAATAGATCTTTTTATTGACATACATACATACAATTATTCTTTACTGAAAAACACATCAGCGATTTTAAGTTCCTGACCTTTCACCAACTCCTTATTTAAAGTTTTGAAATTAAAAGTTCTAATAATTGCCTTTCCAATATTTTTATCATTTTTGTAGATGTTGTATGGAACCATACTGGCATTTTTAATGTAATACATGAGATATTTATTACTATTTATTTCATTGGAAACAAGAACAAATTTTTAAACAGTAAAAGACAGGAATAGATAATTCTTGTCATAGGACATGTAACCTCAAAAAAGGAATCATAACAGTGAGTAATAAGAGAAATCTTATGTTATACAACAAAAGCAGTGTTAAGAAGGAGGGTTATAGCAATTAGTGTCTACATCAACAAATTGGAAATGAATCGAATTAATGAGCTATCAGTGTTTCTCAAGGACCAAGAGAAATGACCACAAACTAAACCCAAAATTAGTAGGAGGAAACACATCATAAAATTTAGAGAAGAGATACATAAAATTAAAACAAAAAATACAAAAGACCAGTGAAATGAAGAGCAAGAAATTGACAAATCAACACAACCCACAATGGTACTTCATCTCATGGTTTTCATACAGAAATCAAAAACCAATAAATGTTTCTGAGTATTCAGGGAAAAATGTATTCTAATCCATTGTTTGTGGGCATTTAAACTAGTACATTCTAGCAAATGTGGAATACAGTATGGAGTTACCTCAGAAAGCAAAATAGATATATCATACGACCTGGAAATCCCACTGCTTGAAATTTACACAAATGAAATATAAACAGCATTTGAAAGAGTTATCTGTACTCTCATGTTTATTGCAGCTCAATTTACAATAGCCAAGATAAAAAAATCAACCAAGATGTCTTTGAACCACTGACTATATAAAGAAATGTAAATATATATGATATATATGATATGGAACACTATAAAGCCATAAGAGAATGAAACCCTGTCTTTCCCTGTCTTTTGTAACAAAATGGATGCAAGTTGAAATCATTATACTAGTGACATCAGGCTGTCCCCAAAAGACAAATACCATTGCTTTCCCTCTTCTAATATTATACCTAAAATGTAATATATATAAATGAAATTGACATTTTAAGATTCAATGATTGTTTGAAACTCGTGTATCTACCATTGAGGAACAGTGATTTTTTTCTTCTTACTATTTGTTGAATTCTTTATATAGTGTAGGATTAATCTTATGAATATAGAATAGATTGATAGTTGTTCATTGTAAAAATAAAGGGAAAAGCTGGGAAAGGAAGAAGGTAGAGTGGGAGTACAGACCAGGAGGGAGGGTAGGGTGGGAAATATTATTATGCTCATGAAAATGTATATATAAATCACATGAATATTTTTCATTTTGAAAATAAAAAAATGAAAAAGGAATCATATTTATGCTCAGTCTCTATTCAGATTTAAAATATTTGAGTCTGTTATGGCAATTCCATTCCATGCTTATACATATTTGCATATTATCACTGAGTATAAATTCTTAGTTTTGACAACATAATATCATGTATTTTCAGAAGAAATTTAGACTTTTAAGTTCCTACTTTTTGGTCTGACTTGAAACATTGGATAATTACTTCAGAATATAGAATGAAAATGGACAACACTTTTATTCTTAGAATTTCTCATTTTATGTTTGGAAACTGGTGATATCATTCAACCATGCTTCCAGATTTTTATACAACTTGGCATATTCTTCCAGATTTATAAAAAAATCACTCTGTGCATAATAAGACTTATTTTAATACCCATTTAAAAACTCAAAGAGTTCACATTCTTTATATAGGTGAGTAACAGGGAGATTTATAGCTTCAAGTACACTCAATACATTTACGTATTTTACCTATTTAACTAATTTCCATATATTTAACCTAATAGCTTTCTGTTAAGTCATCTTTGATATTCCCTGATTTTAAAGTTTGTTTCCGTGATCTTATTCTTAGGAGTTACCCCACAGAGCTGTCCAGAGAATAAAATTCAAGGCTTTTATCCAAATTTTAATTCTAACAGTTTTAGTCTAAATAAAACAAAAAAAAATGCATTGCGGATGTTTTCTCTTTAAAGTAATGTTTTGTAGAAAATAGGAAAATAGGTATCTTACATTGATTTTAACACTTGTGCCTTTAATGCTCTTCATATTAATGAGATATATGTAAAGGATAGCTTTCATAGAATTGATTAAAATATTTTTTTATTATTTTTTTATTTTTTGACAGGCAGAGTGGACAGTGAGAGAGAGAGACAGAGAGAAAGGTCTTCCTTTGCCGTTGGTTCACCCTCCAATGGCCACCACGGCTGGTGCACTGCGGCCAGCGCACCGCGCTGATCCGATGGCAGGAGCCAGGTGCTTCTCATGGTCTCCCATGGGGTGCAGGGCCCAAAGACTTGGGCCATCCTCCACTGCATTCCCGGGCCACAGCAGAGAGCTGGCCTGGAAGAGGGGCAACCGGGACAGAATCTGGAGCCCCGACCTGGACTAGAACCCGGTGTGCGGTGCCGGAAGGCGGAGGATTAGTCTAGTGAGCCACGGCGCCAGCCTAAAATAATATTTTAAGATGCATTTTCTGAAAATTTCTCTCAGAGCCAGCATAACAGGTTAAGCTGCTGCCTGTGATGCTGACATCTCATATGGGCACCATTTCATGTCCTTGCTGCTTCACTTCCAATCCAGCTCTCTGCTAATGCATCTGGGAAAGGACTGGAAGATGGCCCAACTCCCTGGGCCACTCCTCTCATTTGGGAGATCTAGATGAAGCTCTTGGCTTTGGCTTGGCCCTACCCTGGCATTTGTAGCCATTTGAGGACTGAACCAATGGATAGAAGATCCCTCTCTCTCTCTCTCTCTCTGTGTCTCATCTCTCTCTACTCTCCCCACTCTCTCTCTAACTCTTGCAGTTAAGCAAATAATCCAATCAAGAAAGAAAATTTTTCTAGATACACTGAAATAAATATGTTTTATAGCAATCTATTTGACTTTTCTTGAATCTTCAAATATTTCATAAAAAATGCTTCCTATCTTCTATTTCCTGACATATTTCTTTTTTCATATTCCCCTATCTTGTATGATCTTTACATTCCCAGATTCTTAGCTTTCAGAGTCATTCCATATAGCTTGGCCTTTTATGCATCAACTACTTCACTGTGCTGATCCCTATGACTACCCTCAATGAGCCTTCCTTCTCCAATGATTCAACTGTTAATAAGTACGTGATGCCATCTTGAATATAACATTTTCAGTTGCCTTAAATTTTGCAATTAGTATGAAAGGATAAAGCTCAAATAACTGACAACTAATAATCATAAGCATACTGAAAATTTATTAAATATGATCTTACTGCATACATCACCGCCCCATACTGTCATCCTCTTCTCCATCTAAGGCTGCAGAGAAGAATAAATGGATAATCATCTTGCCTCGGGATTTCTGATATGCTTTCTTCACCATGCCAAGCAAGGGGCAGTCTCTTGACATAAATCTGTGAAATGGTGAAGTGTTTATCGATATGGAAAACTGAAATTTTTATCCCTGACAGGAAGTTTAGTAAATTGTGGAATTAACCAGGTAGGATCTTGCACAGTAAGTGTATTCATAATTTGTCACATGTTTATTGTGGGATAATATGGTACTACTTTCTTCTTCTATTAGAAGGCATTTGAGGGTAGAAGACTGTTTCTCATACCCCTTGTCAGCAAAATGAAAAGAGTGGATAGCATCCTTGAAAGTAGAAGAGACTACCTCTTGACCTTAAGTTATTAACAATTGTCAAGGAAAAGGGAGAGGGGAACTTGAAATTCCCTGTGACTTCCTTAGTCAATAATATACTCAGTCATATTTTCCTTGTGAATATGATTTTATTCATGAATACTCTTTATTGAAGATATAAGGAACTTTTCAAAAACATTTTTTGTGAATGCGTTTCTCGAACACTTGCTTTCCTAAATATATTATAATATATTTATTTAATATATTCAAATTACATTAGCAATGAACCTAAAGTATCTCCATGTGATAATCATTTATTAAATGGACTTAATTAAATTCTAATAAATAATATGCTTAATTAATTTAATGCTTATGCTGGATGAATTGCTAATATATATTCATTTTCTCTGGATGCAAGAACAGAGGACCAGGATAGAAGCAAATGGGCAGTACATAAAATTCTGTTACATAAAAGAAAGGGAAAACCTAATGCTAGAAATTGACAGAGGGGGAGCTTGTCCAGGAACTAAATCTTATTCTCTATCCCTGATTCTAAGAATCTACTATTGTAAATCTGCTGAAAAATGACTCTCTTTTCTCACCCACTCCACATCCAATGTACAAGTTTGCAGTGTTCTGAGAGGAGACTGATGTAGGTATCTTCAACCAGTTT